TATTTTTGCCAAAAACTCCACTTGCTAGCATAAATGCTAAGAGCACATGGCACTAATGAAATCATGATTAAAATACATTTAAATAACCCAATTTGTGATCAGTAATACATTTTGTTTTCCTTTTGATATTGTGGTAACAGTGTTGAAGTTCTTCAAAATAACTGTTGGTATAAGAAATTTTTAGATTAAAATATTTTCTCAGAGAGAGCACACAGACTTTTCAGTGCTTCAGATCTTATCAGTGAGGGAAGGTATCATCATTTCCTGTATCTTACATACACTCTAAAACAACCCAACCGCTGGGTCAAAACAACCCAATAGCTGGGTTTGTCCCTTTTTAACCCAGATTGATGATTTAGTTGTTATGTACACATTGCAGATCTGCACCAGAAACTTTCTCTGGCCTTGTTGCAGATGACTATTTTTGTGACAGCAGCTGCCAGCTGTCCTAATACCTCCCAGACAAGAATGTTTATCTCTACATTTTTTTATAGGATTACCTTATTGGAAGTCATTGTCAATGGCATATAATGTAACACCATGTGCACCGAGACTATAGTGAGAATAACCTTAGTTGTGTTTCTCAATTATTACTTATTTCTTCACAAATGTGAGAAAGTGAGATTAGCATGTAACTACTTCCTGGAACAACAGACTCAGGAAACACGTTGCGGAATAAGACCCACAATTCATAAAACATTTATGTGTGTGTGTGTGTGTGTGTGTGTGTGTGTGTATGATCACATATATTTGCTAAAAAAAACAGCTATTTTAAGAACACTTAAAAGGCCAATAAGTCCTGACTCACAGAAACACTCATCTGTAACAATAGTATTTTTTGCAGATATCTGAGAGAGAGATTGGCTCATGCAGGCTGACTCCCTGTAGTGTTTCCTCTCTGTGAAATAGTGCCTGGTGTTTGGCAGATTTCTCTGAACTGGCCCTGTGGCCTGTGATTACAGCTGTCACTCTGAGAAGCTTTCAACAGGTGTTTGAAATGGAGGCGCTGTGTCCGTTTTACCATGTGTTGATGCTGCAGCAGAGCTCAGAGAAACAAAAATGGCCATCTATTATATTAACATGCAGCTATTTTTTTAATTAATAAAAATAGACAGAGAAAATAGTATTTGTATGCAAATGTGAGTAACTCTAAAGGGACTGAGGAATGGGTAATGGTGTATTTATAAGACCTATAAAAACCTTCAAATGTCAAGTTTGAAGTAAACATTCATAGTTTTTATTTATATTCAAGAAAAGAAAAAGAGAACAGTTATCAAAGCAAACAGGAAGAATAGCAGAAAGAGGCGTGTTTAACCGTCTGTGTGCGCACGCATGTGTTGATCAGGAAGCTCTGGGTCTGAGCTGCTTCGAAGCATCTTGCGTTTCCTGAGGAGACCAAATGGCCACTTTTCAGTTTCATTACTTAGAAACCATACATAACTGAACTCGTATAGGTTCTATGTGCGAAATAGATCAGTATATTTCAAATCAGACGTATATTGATCAGTATTTGGCGTATAATACAGGTTATTCTTCCGTCGCGTGCGCGTAGCGCTTCAGCCAGCGAGCTCGCTTTAATCACATCAGACTAGCCCCTCATGTGAGTCTTTTTTTTTTTTTACACATTTTAACACTATAACGCTATTTTCTGTTGATATTTCTCCTAAAAATGCTGTTTCGTGTTATTTTGTTGCCATTGATTCTGCTTTTGTGCGTTTTAAGTCGTTTGAAATGAGCTAATGGGGCTAGCGTTAGCATAATGGCTAACAGCAGCGATTGAATTGCATTTTTGATAACATTCTGTATTTTGGTAGCATAATAGGGCGACTTCATTTGTCATTTGGTTGCTTTACTTGTAAATGCCGATGTAATTGTTCAGCTAGTTTTGTATAGGTTATTCTGAACACGTTGATGTTGATAAATATTATTTGTTATTATTAAATATCCTTAATTGTAATTTTAAAGCAATCCTAAATGTGTATGATCGTAGATGGTCGTATCAAATTGAAGTTATAATTGTGATGTGACCTGTATTTTCCTGAACTCGTTCTTTATTTCCACCCTTAACATGGAAGAAGTGAAAACGAAAGTGTTTTTGAATGCGTCTCGTAAAATGGCTGTTTCTTGGCTTTTGCATTGAGATTTTACCATCTGAACAGAGTTGAAGAATAGTACTGTTTTCCATAATGTCTCAATCTATTGAGCTGCCTATCTAGACAGCAATGCCTAGTCAGCAGTTTGAGCCTGTAGGCAGGTTTGCTGCCTACCTAGACAGCATTTTTGGGTGTCTCAATGTCTCTAAACCTAGTAAATTGGCTATTGAACTATCCATCTAGTATCTTTGGAATTTAAAATGCTGTCTAGATAGACAGCTCACTAGGTTTTGAGACACAGCCAGCGAGTGTCCTCTGTCCTGATGATTTGATCAATGCAAATGTTTTTTTTTTCATAGTGTTTCCTGAATAGATTAGAAACTAGCTGCACTGGTTGGGCTGGACTGTCTCTTACCCCAAAGGACTTGGTGAAAATTGCTTGGCAGTTGTTCCTGTTCCTGATTTGACTGTCAAATCCGACTTTTTCATGCTATATGACACACCCTGATCTCTATCCTACAGAATAATGCTGCATATCAGTTAACCTAGGCGTCTCATGTTACTAGATAAATGCAACAGTCTGGAAAAGCAGCGCTTGGAGATTTTTAACCTCTCATAGAGTTATAGTTAACCAGCCAGTATAAGCCATTGTGAGCTAGGCCTATATATTCTTTTGGTCAGAAATGAAAACAAGAGTCTGTTGTATATATTGTAAATAGAGTGGCTAAATGCGTCATTCTTTTATTGCAAATTACTTATGCAAAATTTGCACAATATTATAAGGAAGTGTGTTTGTTTTGCATGTTTAAGAATCTGAAACCGTTTCACCCTCTGCTTTCTGGCTCATCGGGTCAGTTTGGTTCTCATTTTTGTGGTTATCTGCTGCATACTTTCAGAGTTGTTTTCTGTTAATGTTTGATTTATCTGGTCCACACGGTACACAGAATTCATCCATAGTGGGTCAAGGTAAAAACAAACAAACAAAAAAAACACTTACCGTACATTTTTATCAGGTAGGAAAGCAAGTATGTTTGAAGACAAATAATGTATTGGAATTGCATCAGTTACCGTAAACAGGAATTAGTTCAGGTGACCATGATCAATACTGCTGTAGATTACTGGAGGGATAACAGTAATCATTGTGAGCTAGGCCTATAAATAGTAGATACGATGGTAAAAAACCTTTTAAAAAGTAGATTAAGCTCAAAACAAAGACGTAAACAAAACAAAAATGCAATAATTTAGATTATAGATTAATACAGTGTCATTACGGTCCTATTTTGTTCTTAAATGTTAAAAGAACAGGACAGATTCTCATAAAAATAAATATTAACATAACCTGTAGGATTTAATTAAATATGGCCAGTTTTATTTTTTTCTTACATTTTATTGTATTGTGTAAGAAATGTTTTACACCACTGCAAAGTCACATTGAGGCTGCTTATGTTGACCACAAGTTTAACAAAAAGTACAAAAATTATCCATTTTGGGGGGAAGTTGTTATACACAGTGTGAGCAATATCAATAAGTTTTAGTCCAGTGTGATAACAGTAACTAGCATTTACAGGAAAAAGAAAATCTTCTCCGGGTCAAACTGGAACACAAAATGAGGGTTAATACATTTTATTGATTACAGCCCTAATAAATATAATGGCATAAATAACAACAGTTGTATTTACAATAATTTCATTGTTGAATTATTCAGTTAGTCAAAAAAAGCAGTAACAAAACAGCAATTCAAAGTCAGTTCTGCATATCAGTTGTTGGTCACTTAAAGGGTTAGTTCACCCAAAAATGAATATTTTATCATCATTCACCCTCACCCTCATGTTGTTCCAACCCTGCATGAATTAATTTTTTCTGTTGAACACAAAAGAGGATATTTTGAAAAATGTTGGTAACCAAACAATTGCTGGTAGCCATTGACTTGACTTCCATAGTATTTTCCATTCCATTTTTTTTTAAACCATGCCATGGAAGTCAAAATATATTTTGTTGTGTTCAACAGAAGAAAGAAATTCATGCAGATTTGGAGGGTGAGTAAATGATGACATAAAAACAAGCATAAAAATAATAAGTATTGGTAAATCTCTGTTTTGCATATGACAAACAGGTAAATCACATGCTGTTTAGCTGGCCTGTTGTTTTTTTGGTCTGGTTTAATGTCATAAAGGTTTAATTGTGTTTATTTATTTTTAGGGAACTTTTCTCCACATTTCTACACTACTGTATGAGTGTGACAGCTTTGTGTTTATGTGATTTCCCTTTTCAGATACTGTGAATATAAAGATGTCCAAGCCCCCAAATTCTGCGTCTCGGTCCCGGTCCAGATCCAGGTCTAGATCGCGGTCCTACACACGATCTCACTCCAGGAGTCGCTCCCGCTCAAGGTCCAGAAAGCGTCGCTACAGGTAGACACACATACAACAGATTACAGCCAATTCCTTTGCAACAAACTGTTAGTTAGAAGTAGCATTTTAAAATGTGAAATCTGGTTATTTTAAACTGCTATAATGTCACAGCTCAGTTTAAAAACAGCTGCTTCTGAGCGCTTTATCGTACCCTTGACCCAGCGTGAATGAATATTCAAATAGCACTAAAATAAGATACCATAGTTTCCTGAAGGTTGCTCCTCCTCTAAGCCTTTCTCTTTTTTTCTGACAGACCACCCCTTTTTGTCGTTTTTTCTTTTTTTTTTTTATATGTCCTGTGTGCGTTAGTCTAAGAACGGTTTCATTTTGTTTGTCGTGACTACCTCTTTCCACTACATGTGGCTTAGCATGTCGATATGCTTGCCAGTAAATGTTATTCTTAACCTGTTTTCCAATGAAAAAGCACAAACAGTAAGACATTTTCTTGTTCGCAAATGTGTGGTTTAGTCTGGTAAATTTGGACCATGGCGCCTGTAGTTACGCTCTAAACATGTCTAACTTTATGCATCGCCAGATTTAGGTAATGAATTTAAGTTGCAGTTACTTTTAAATGAAATTTCCATATATGTAATTTCAGAAGATCATGATGAAGGCATACATTTAGGCGGCGTAATCTTTTAGTCAGTGGTAAAGGGCTTGTAAGAGTAGCATCCGTTGCAAAAATTTACAGGAAGTGATTCAACACTTTGTCAAGGAAAGAAGTTGCTCATTACAAAAACAGTGCCATTTGTGTGAATATTGATACTGTAGCGCCATCAAGTGTTCATGAATCATAACTGCATTCTTTCTCTCTTTTTCTCTCTCTGATCTTCCTGTATTCCTCTTTCTGTACTTTGGTTTTCCATCCTTCATGTCCTTTAGCTCTAGATCAAGATCCCGTTCACACAGCAGAGAGAGGAACTATCCTTCCAGAGATTTCCAGAACAATCGTGGGTATAACCGTGGTTTCCGTGGCTACCGGAGACCCTTTCAGTACCGGGGCAGAGGGCGTGGCTACTTCCCACGAGGTAACTATCATAGAGGTGGCAGCAACTATGGTTACCGTTCCAACAACTGGCACGGCCATAGAGACCACCAGCAGCAGCAGCAGCAGTACGACCACTCGTACAGCCCTAGGAGAGGGCGCTCGCGTTCCCACACGCCACGGAAAAGATCAGCAAGCCGAAGCCGCTCGCGCCATTCCGATAGATCATCCTCTGTGCATTCCAGACGTTCCAGCTCTTCCTCCCGTTCCTCATCCCCACGTCGACGCAACTCTACCGTTGGACGACTCCATTCTAAAGATCGCAAAGAAAGGGGTTCACCAAGTGAAAGCAAAGGAACCAGCAAGGAATCATCCAAGCCTACAGGAAGCACCCCAGAGGAACCCAGTAGCAAGTGGGAAGGCTTAACTAACTACGATGCCAGCCCCAAACGCAAAGCTGCATCTTCTGGTGGTCTGTCAGAGATCAAAGTGTCCATTTCCGGAGGTGCTGGCAATGGTGGTCCACTGTGGCGAAGCATCGGCCCTGCCAGTAAAAGTCCACTGGCAAAGACGTCAAGCTCAACTGACTTCGGGTCCTTCTCAAAGGAAGACTTGAAGACCGAAGACAAATCAGCCTCCATTTCGTCCGCTTTCAAAAAGTATGTTTTTGCTTTCGGTTTTAGATGTTTTCCCTCTTTCTTTTGTCCTCCAGGCAGTTTTTAATCAATCATCATTCTCTCAAATGTGTTTAGTCCTTATACAGCAACAAAGATCCTTGGAAGAATAGAGCTTATAATGGAAACCAATTTCAAACTCAAATGTCACAAATGGGCATTTACCTGTGCTATGAGGTTGTTTGCAATCCCATAATTTAGGAGATAAAGTTTTAATGACGTAAGTATGGAAAAAAAAATCATCCTGGTTAGTCGTGTCTGCATTGCTGAAAAGTTGAGCCATAAGTTTGCGCATGTATTAACTGTTGTTTGTTGTAAGTAACCTTTCTTATCTTGCTGTTAAAGGTTATGCTGGTTTGAAAATGTAAAGATTTTTCTAAAACAATCTGCTTTTTGATGTACAAAAACCTGATTAATTTGTGATCGTTCACCTCAGGTTTTTGGCAGAAAAGAAAAAGCCCTTATCAGACAGGGATAATGGCAGGGGTGAGACTTTAAGCTTGGGCGACGCAGACAGCGAGAAGAGCGGCAGCAAGTTGAGAGCGGTTTTCAACGCGTCTGATTCTGGCTATGATGGCTCAAAGACTGACAAAGGACTTCCATTTCTGGATGCAGAAGAAGAGGAGTATCGCCAGGAAATGAAAGACAGGAAGACTGAGGAAGAATCCAAGTATAAGGACAAACCTCTTGTCACAATGCGGGACTTAACCGAAGAGCGTTTTGGGAAATGGGATGAAGATGTTGAAGAGGAACTGGATGAGGAACTTTATCGCAGTCGGAAGCATGCGTCTAGAAAAGAAGAGAAGGCCTCCAAGAAGAAAGAAAAGAAGAAGAGTAGGATCAGTCCATCCTCTCCATCGCCATCCAGAGTATCAGAGAATAGAGGCAGGCCACTGTTTCCAGCTGGAAGAGAGGCCACACCCCCAGCTAAATCCTCAGCGAAGAAAGACCCGCAGTTTAATTTCAGTATAAAGGCATTCACTGATGATGGAGAAAGGTATGAATTTGAAGTCACATTTACTGCTCTGTTTAAAAAAAAAAAAAATGATATGACATTTGGGTATGTGTTTATGACTCTCACTGCTTTTCCTCAGCTCATCAGGTGCATTAGCTAAAGAAAGACGTTTGTCACGGGATCTTGTGCACCCTGGTAAAAAAGATCATGAGGGGTTTCAATCGATCTTCCAGCATATTCAGTCTGCTCAGCTTCGCAGAAGCCCTTCAGAGCTATTTGCTCAACATATAGTCACCATAGTACATCATATTAAAGGTAATTCCAGACTAAGCTGGTGGTTATGTGTAATCCTTCATTTTAATTTTGCACTTTGTGCTTTGAGGTGCCTCAGGGTGCAAACCTAGGACCTTTCTCTTTTTTGTGAAATTCAATATGTGAACATTTTAAAATGGTGGCAGGCTAGAAATGACTTATTTCCCTACCTTCTGAATGTAGCTCAACATTTCCAATCATCTGGGTTGACTCTGAGTGAGCGATTTGGAATATACCAAAGAAAAGCTGCAGAGATGGAAAAGATGAAGCCGAGGAAGAGTCCTGAGATCCACAGGTAGGTGTATTTGTATTCTGGTCAGCATTCCACTCATGTATCACTGAACGCTTTGTGGATTATGGTTTAGATGCCTTGTTCCTCTCTTTATATATATATATATATATATTTTATTTTTTTTTTGCATGTTTTTCCACAGGCGAATCGATGTGTCTCCCAGTGCTTTTAAGAAGCACTCTCACCTGTTTGAGGATTTCGAAGAGAGCGGCTACAAGGTGACAGAGTGTTTTCAAATCTGAAATTCCTGCCCAAATGTGTACCAGCTGAAACAGCAGAAATGTGCTATGAGGTGTATAATGCTAATGCACAAGAACCCCAATCTCAGTCTTGTATTATTGAGCGTTACGCTCTCACCCTCCAGCATTTGTCGTATGATTAATCTTGGGTACATACTTGCCCAAACAAAATGGCTAATGAAAAGGAAGTGACAATTGATCCTGTGTCCAAGCCTTTCACTGGACCGCTAACCAATGCAATAGTAAGTATATCTCCTCAAAAATGTATCTATAAAACAAAAAAGTGAGGCTCAGTACTAATCAGCATTGGGAAAGCATGGAGCATGCTGCTTTCTCATGAAATCTGAGCATTTTTTGTTTTGTTTTTTGTCATGAAGTTTCGCGTGTTTATAGACGTCCGTCACGTTTTCAGTGGGTGTCCAATATATCATGTTCTATCACATTACTTTATAAATTTGCACACACATTTCATTGGTTTCATTAAAACTTGGACAACATCAGCCAAGACTGTACAGTAATAGAGGGTGACTAAATAAAATGAGGATTGAATTTGGGTTATTCCTAAAGATGGCCAATAGATAGTTTTTCAGCTGTATGTATTTCAGTGTGAGGCAAATATTCTCAGCCTCTTCTTCTTGTGCCTAGGTTAACCCTGAATTAATCATATATTCATATTAAATAATGTTAAAGGGTTAGTTCACACAAAAATGAAATCTGTCCTTTTTTTTTTTTTTTGCAAATGACAGATGTTTATCAGACGTCTCCCACATGGTGATTTTGTGCAATGAAAGTAGTCCAATCAAAGTAGTCAACCTTTCCTTTCATTGTTCGGAAAACAGATTCCTAAAAAGAGATTCTGCTAAGCATCATCTTTTATAAAAACAAAAAAACAAAAAGTAAGTTATTTGGGTTTGTAACAACCACATGGAGAGTAAATGAGTTACATTTCATTTTTGGATGAACTGTCCTTTTAAGCTTTAAATTTATTTGAAATCACATGCTAGTTCAAGATGAAATTGAGGAATTCTTACCTTTAGTTTACACTAATGATTCAAGAAAATATGTTCATTATTTTGGACATTATTTTGTCTTTACAGGATCATGGTAAAAGGCATGAGGGCGATTCATTGGACCTTCGCTTGGCTATTGAGCGCCCTAAAAAGCGAGAGGGGGGAAAGAGTTCAGCTGGCTGCCATGAACTCTCCCCTGACAGATCCTCCAAAAACAAGAAATCAAAGTATGTTCGACTCTTTGATTCTTAATAATGAATAATGTTTGAATAGTAATTATTTTTGAGCCTGGGTGTTTAGTGTTTGGGAGGAAGCACTGTATTATTTTGTTTTACTTTATATTTTAAATGTTGTATAATTTAAATTCCTGTAATTCTATGATTCTAATGTTCTAATTCTAATTTAGCCAAATATACAGACTCTATTGAAATTTTGTAGACAATTTCAGTGTTGTGTACTGTTCATTTATTTAAACTTTGTACAAATGCAGGTCGGTTTTTCTTAATTTGAAGCTCATTATTCAAAGCCAAATGGACCACAGTGTAATTTTCATGTTGCCATTTTGGCATACTGAATTGTGATTTGTAGTTTTATCGCATTTATTTGCATTTGTTTTAAATTGCAATTTGGTCTTTTTTTGTTTGTGCAAATATGGTGTTACATTGTGTGTTTTTTCTCATACAGCTCCCACAGATGGCAAAGTGGCTCTGATGTAGAATTTAATTTACACAAAAGCACAGCCTAACACCTTAACCTAACTTTACCACTTATTTTTTCCTTCAAGAAATGCAAATCTAATTATATATCCTCATATTTAAGACGGTGTATTATCACAATTATTGTAATCAGAAGATAGCCAGAAGATATTAATTTCAAAACAGGCATTAACTGCAGACTCATTATTTTCCAGTCACCGATCAGAGGATTTTTAACTTTCTCATTTATTCTAAAGGAAAAGCAAAAAGAAGCGAGAACGCTCTCCCTCCTCCTCTTCTTCCTCCTCCTCCTCTCCCTCCCCTCGTCAGTACAGAGTGAAAGAGTACCATCCGGAGGAGCACATGGAGGGAGGAGGGGGTTTTAACAAGGCCCGTCTGGGGTCAAGGGAGTATCCGGGACCCATGGATCGCGGCCCCCGGGACTATGAGGGCCACATGGACCGGGGTTATGAGAGGGGCAGAGGAGGATACGACCGAGGAGGATATGACAGAGGTCATGGGGGTTACGATCGGGGATTTGTAAGTATCTTGCAGTTCTCTGTGACATTGATAGAACTTGTTGATCATTGATGAGTTACAGATGGAATTTGTTTCTTTGAGAGACCTCAGTTGATTCTGAAGTTAAAAATTAAGTTAAAAATGTTAGTTTTGGGTTTGAAAGTAAAGACTTTTGAGTTTCTGTGGGTATCTGAAGATCATTTTTATCAACTGAAATGGTGAAATGCTGGTAAAATGAACTATCAGAGCAGTTCTGAAGTTGAATTTCATGTTTTCATTGAGATGGACGGTTTATTCGTCGAAACATTTCCTAAATTCCATGATATTCCACATTATACAGTAAATTCTATTTTTATGACTGGTTTCCACAATTCCGTCTACGTTAGAGCTTTTATATTTGTGTCCCAATGTGTTCCAATGATCCTGAGTTTGTTCCTCTATATGTCTCTGATGTTTCCTCTTTATCTGCTCTTCTCTTGTATTTGTTACTTGCAGCCGAGAATGAGAGGAAGAGGATGGAACCGGGGAAACTACCCAGGCAACAACAACAACAACAACCCTCCCAATATGGGCGGCCCTTCACGACCCCCGGATGAGGAGTGGGACCCTGAATACACCCCCAAGAGTCGGAAATACTTCCAGGTGTGCTAACATTGATCTCATATACACGCGCCCCCCTAAACATCACGTTAAAAACAAAAGCTGGTGGTGGGTTGCTTGGCATGTCACTCAGTCTCTTCCTGTATAAGTGAGCAATTTTGGGACAGTATAAGCTGCATGGTGGCCAGTTGGAGAGTTTCAATTTACGTCTCTCTCATCTAACTGCAGCACGACGACCGGGACAAGGAAGGGGAGATGAAGTGGGTGGACACTCGGGGGCGCGGCAGAGGAAATTACCCACGTGGCAGGGGCACCTTCTTGGTTCGCAAGAGCGGCGGCAGCCCCAAGTGGACCCACGACATGTTCCAGGGCAACGCTGAAGAGGGAGAAATTGAAGATGGAGGCGCAGAGCACAAAGATGACGACAAGTCTGGGGAAAACACAGCTTCCAAGCCATAGACTGATTTGTATCCATTTGTGTCTGTTCTTCTCTACTGTCTCTAACTCTGTGAGAGCCCTCGTGAAAAATGCATCTTTGTGTGTTCAGATGTTGGACTGCAGAACCCCAAATGGTAGAGCCATGTCATTTATAGCAACAAACCATCTGCTATTATTTTTCAGTTTATTTTTTCCTTTCATTTTTGGGGTTGTGGGGGGTGATTGAAAATATAAATTCTGCCATTTGGTGGCTAAAATTAATTGATTTTCATTTAAAAAGTGCAATAAATCTGTGCACTTGTGCCTTAGATTTAACTGTAGTTTTATGATTCCTTTTTTACTTTTTTATTTTTAATTTTCCCAGTAGATTTCCCCTTTTCTGTTTGGAAGTGTATGTAAATTCATTTATACATGCTGCAATCTTTTATATTTCTTCTCTTTTGGTGTATGGTTCAGTCTCATTGGCGCATATCCCTTGTGGACCAATACACTGTGTAGTGGGCCGATTTTCTCCAGAAAATTGTGTTAAAAATGTAAAGATTCATTCTTCCTAACCAATTGGCTCTCGGCTATATTTAACATCCGGTTTAGTTAATTTTCTTACCTTAAATTATGCCACTGACTAAAAAAATTGTCCACTTACTTTGTGAAGTGTAATTAAAAAGTTTTTTTTTCCTGTTTTGAGCAACAAAAAAATTGTCATAAGTTTTAGATTGTCATTCATCAGATTTTAAAGTGTAGATAATAATAGAACATGCAAGATGAAGCTTATGATGCATTTATTGCATTGTTGTGTTAAACTATCAAACTAATTGTAAAATAGTTCATGCTGCATGTTTAGATCATGTGGTTTTTCTGCCATTGATCTCTGTACGCTGCACTGTTCACTTGTGCTGTAAGGATATAACCGGAGGACTCGGCTGCTTTCTTTTCAGCGTAGAAATCCTGCTTTGTGATGACAGTACTGTAATGCTGTGACTCAACATTCTGTTAACATTTACAATCTGTTAACTCCGTGCTTTCTGTCTCCATGGTAAATTTGAAATAAAACCCGTCCTCTGTTTGGTACATGTCATCTTGTTTTTGTTTCGAGTTGCATTGGCCTTGCAAGACACATCGGTGGAGGGAACAGCTGCTCTCAACAGCTGGAGCCTTTTAGAGATTTTATGAAGAGGTAGTACTAGTTACTCAATGTGATACGAGCTGTTTCATGATTCAATTCACAGTTTATATATATTTGTTGTACTGTACTGCAGGACTGTTTTGCGTTTTTACACATTTTAAGTTTCAGTGTGTCCAATCTTGCTCCTGCAAAGCTCCACAGTAGGGTCCACAGTAATTACGACAGTGAATTCCACTTGTGTATATAGTAAAGGGGACTCCAAATCCGTAAAAAATATGCAAAACTACACATGTTTTAAAGCTGCAGGCGACATAACTGCCCTGCGCGCATATATATATATATCTATATCTAAAAACAAAAAAAAACAACCAACGTTACCGTGCGTTTGGTTTGGCCGCTAAGATATTATAGTTGTTATCGTTAGAAGTGTGAACGGGCCTTTGGGATGTCTTCATGACATGAATGCTACTTTCTCATTTATAATGCATGCGTGTCAGAATTAGGTAAAAATCTTTGGTTTTATTTTTATTTAAAAATACATACAATATATATACACAAACATTAAGTGCTAAAATGTGTTTATATATAAAAAATGCAAAAGAACAAATGGATCCATCAAAACTTGATCACTTAGAAGACAAGCAAGGGCTTGTGAAAACGACTTCAAAACAGAATTATGGGGATTAAATGTAGGCCTACTCTTAAAAATAAAGCTTCTTTATTGGCATCAGTGGTTCAGTGAAAAACCTTTAACATTCATGTTCTTCACACTAAGAAAAAATTAATCTCTGAAAGTGTTCTTTGGGAAATACAAAATGGTTCTTTGATGGCATTGCTGTAAAAACCTCCCTTTGGAAGCCATATTTTTAAGAGTGTACTCAATCCGTCCCATTTTAAAGGAACGTTACACCCAAATCTGTTGCACAGGTCCTGTGGCATTCCATATCTGCATGAAACAACTGCGTCCAGCACACGAAACACTACTAGTGATAGTGAACTCGTCCGAGTGTTCCTGTGCCGGTGACGAGTATATCCGGCTGTCCGTTCCTCCAGATCTCCCTGACGATCCGTTCTCTCTCCTCCAGTCTCCTGGCTCTCTCCAGCTCCTCCGCTGAAGCAAACACGTTCACACTCTTAATGGTTCCATTTAACTGGGTCTGATCACTCAAGGGACTCACGGTGACCACTGGGACTTCTAGGTCCTCGTCATCTCCTTCCTCACTTTGGTCCTCTTCCTTGTCTTCCTCCTCCTCATCCTCGCTGGACTCTTTCAGCCGTCTCTTGTCTGGTGAGGAGGGTGTTTTTGTTTTTGAACGCGGTCGGCAGGCGATGCCCAATATGAAGAGGACAAGGGCCAGCAGAAGACCTGAACACACACCCAACATGAAGTACAGCGCAAAGCTCTCCATGTTCTCTGTGTTCAAAGAGAAGGAAAATGGTCAAGAACATGTCTAAGTCAATATAAAAAAAAAAAATATTAATATATATATTTAACATTACATATCAAGTTGGATTCTAAATTATAAATCAATTGAAATTTTAAAGTCTATTTGAATTGGGATGCTGAATTGAACTTGATATTCTATGCACTGTTCTGTACTGCACATTTTGGAAAATCCAGGAATTCCGTGCATGTAGTATTCAAAATCTGCATCGTGTACAAATCAAAAGTTTGGATGCACATGAATTTATGTTTCTTATTATCTTGAAAACCTCTTGATCCAATCCTGTGCTTAAGTATTACATTTCTATCATGACAACTCTCTGAAGAGTTTAGCATGATAATGGACATGACAATGTTAATGTATTTGGCCTTGGCGGAATAGATCTGTTATGCTGCTGAATTGCTGCTGCTGTTGCTTATTGTAGTTGTAGATTATTGCTGCTGCTGGAAAGCAAATACAGGAATTTGCTCCTGCCAATACATACACTGATATGGTGCTTTGAGCATTTAAGACAAACTGCTGCTGCACAAATAGTATATAAAATAATCCGTAGCAGATCTATACAGGTGGAGCTGGGGAGGTGGAGGGTTTCAGAGTAACTCAGAAAGCACGCTTTAAAATGCTCTAGTAGATGCCAAGCAGAGATTTAAATGTAAAGCAGCAAGCTCATTGGCTGCATATGCAACATGAACCAATCAGCTTGTGCCAAGTAGTTTAATGCTGTGAATAACATCGGTTTTCATTAACAACCTATCAGCCTGCGCCATCTGCTTCATGACAGAACTTGGCATTTGTAGATTGTAAATTTATTATAGCTATACACTACCATTCAAACGCTCAGAGTTAGAAAGATATTTTATGCTCACCAAGGCTTTGATCAAAAATACAGTAAAAACAGTAATATTGTGTATTATTATTTTAATTTAACATATCTGTTCTAATGATCCTTCACAGATCATTCTATTATGCTGATTTCTAGTAATTTTAGTTTTAATTTTTAGTAGATTTTGATATTTTCTTCCTAGATTGACTTGACACTAAAGAAATCAAATTTAACTAAAATCTTAAACCCCAAAGAAAAAGAGAAATTTCTTTAGGAACATTTAAGCCATTTCTCATGAAGTCAGATGTGTGAAGCCAAATCAAACAGAACACTCAAGTACATGGAATGGGTTGTGTGAATCAGAAGTGTGACGGGGCCCAAATCTATAGAAGTGTTTAGCCAGCTGCCTTTCACCGCTTGATATCTTAAGCTGCACAGTAATGAGTGGTTAGTGTTGAATGCTCTTACCTGTTATATGGGCATAAGTAGCCATGCTGTTACTCAGCAGCTCCATCTCTTTCCGTATGGGGTTCATATTGGCTTTATCTGGCAGACTGATTTTCCTTTCTCTTGCTTTCTTCTCTACTTTATTTCTCCTTGACCCCTGTAGTAGAACAAAATACATATAGTTCAGAAACAGCAGACATACGGTTAAGACAAACCCCAAAACAAGCTCGTGTCGCTCTTCAGTTGCTAGGGTGTTATGATTAGTTGCTGATTTTAGGTAGCCTATCATTCATGTTTGTAGCACAAACAGTGTTGAGTTGCATGCAAAGTTTAATACTTAGTGTTAGGGCTTTTGAAAAGCCAACAGTGATGCTTGTTTCAGCATTGCAAGGACAGCTAAAACAACATATTCATAATTAGACCAATAGGCCCTAACTTGTTTATTTTGGATCCTGAGGCTGAAATTGCGCTAATTGTGCCATTAAGCAGCATTATATGCTCCCAGACAGACTTTCCCATTTTTCCCACAGGAACTGAGATTCTGTGAGGACGTTCACATGGTGTTCGTGGTCTGCGTGGGACTCTTCCCTGGGAAACTGGGAAGGATCCAGCTTGTGTCACTCTTTCTGAGATGGAAAAGAGGAGGGGGAGAATTAAAGCTGAACATCTGGATTTCCCAAGCCGGAGCGAGAATCTCCTCCGGCCCAAGCGAGGAAATGATAAAAGCATCAGGCTATAAATGCGGTGACTCCCCGTGTGTGTCCACACCATAAAAGCCACAGACGCTGAGACCATGCCGGGATCACGGAAGAGGTGCCATGTTATTGTCTTCCTGTTTGTTTCCTCTTGGGGCCTGTAATTACAGCAAATCTACGCCATTAAGGCCCAAAGTCTCAGCCGCCCCGATCCCTATCTGCCACGCTCTTGGCAGGACTAGGGCACACATTTAAGTACGCTAGAGTGAAGCACATTATGTTGACTGTATAAAGTGAAATCTCATTTGTTGTTTTTTCACTCTTTGCTTCAGAAATCAGAAAAAGACAGAAATATGATCATGTATTAAAATTTTCTCAATTATTTCTACAAAACCAAATTAGAATCATTATCAAATTATCATCAAATTTTTTTCAATTATATTTTTATTTTAAAAAAAATATAAATTTTATTGAATATACTACTACTACTAATTATTATTATTATTATTATTATTATTATTATTATTATTATTATTATATGTAATATACAGTATTTAATAATAGTGGTGGTGGTGGTGGTGGTGATGATGATAATTATATTATAATTATATTATAATAAAAATAAAAATGATTGTTTATTATTATTATCATTAAAACATTTGTTATAATAATTGTAACAATTATAATACTTTATATAAAAAAATTTGCATACAAGCAAATTTGATGATCATATAAAAAGATATTGTTGAA